TCTTTTGTTCTCTAGAAACAAGCATCTCCGCTTCTAAAACTTTGCCTTTTTTAGAAAGTATCATCTGATGGATCATACTGTTTTTTAATTAAAAGAATCAATAAATTATTATTTCTAACACACCATTGACCCTTAGGCATGTTCCAACCTAAGATTGTAAGTGCTTCTCTCCTGTCAATGCAACACAAGACTTCTACTTTAATCAAGGTGAAAAGTGCTAATTAGAAAAGGGGAGGCCTGACACAAACTGTGAGAGGGTCCAAACATCCAATCAAAGAGCAACAGCACAGCAGGAAAAAGAATGAAGCACTGAAGGCAGCATGGAGTGATGGAGGGAACAAAAGGAAAGGTAAGAAGGGTAAAAAGGACACAGTGATTGATGCACAGTTTATTCCACATGGGTGAAAAAGAGTAAAACTGTAGAAGAAAAGAGGTTGAGGTACAGGGAAGAGGGAATAATGAGAAAAGGAAAGGAAAGGAAAGGAAAGGAAAGGAAAGGAAAGGAAAGGAAAGGAAAGGAAAGGAAAGGAAAGGAAAGGAAAGGAAAGGAAACAGAAAGAAAGGATTCTATTTTCAGTAACGTTTTTGTTCGAGGTCACAGACCAGTAACACATTCGTGTGCTTGTCCATTCGACCCACAGTTTTTCTGACATAAAGATGTTGTTCATTTTCACCTAAGCGTCACTATGACAGACGCTTGTTAGTGTATGTTTACGTGGGAGGGGATTTCAGTATGTAACTTTTCATGATAATTATTCACATCTAAATTTTAACATTTTCTGAGTCTCATGTTTGAATAACAAACCAAAGTATTTTATTTGTAGTTACCTTTCAATTTCTTTTCCAAGTTTGCCTCTATAACAGAATATAATATCTTTAGTATGTGTTGGTACGTTAGATGTATAAGAAAGAATAAAGAAGGAATATATTGAAGTTTAAGTGTTTTAGTTACATTAAACTTTTATTTGAAGAGATCTAGTCTATATTTCTTTAAAAAAAAATCTTCAAATATAAAATGAATCAATATTTTGTACAAAAACTTTTGTCATTTTTTTAAAGTCATGAAACCACATTCCTTTTATTTTATCTAAAAACTTTATTTTCACTCCCCAAAGAGTGTGAAAAGAGAACAAAATCTTTCCAAATAAAATAAACCGAGGACATTTATTCACTCATAAGTTAACATTCTTCTTATTTTCTAACTTCAGCAGCACACACAAAATAACCACACTGCTCTAGCGAGAGAAATTAATCCAATTTAATCAAACATGTTACAAAAACAAAAACAAAAAAAATTTCTTCTGCAGGGTATTTTATCAGAGAAACTTTATATCCCAAAGGAAATGTATCTTGGTTACAGACTCTGGCTGCTGCATAGTCCAAACCATGGCTCTCACTTTATACTCACACAAAAAACACAACTATAATAATTCCATTAAAATGATGTTTCTATAATAAATCCATTATAAGAAAACTGAATATATGAAAAAAGCATAACCATTTAAATACGATTACCTACTACCAAAATATCCTGTTTGATACTGTTTGATACGATAAGACGTCGACCTAAAGAAGGAGACTGATAGTCTGAATAAAGATGATTTTCTGAGCATGCCTTGTCTCATATGGAGTAAAGCTAGTAAAGAAATTTTTTATTAAATTAAAGAAAAAAAAGGGATTTGAAAGAGGAAAATAATTTTGAAAGTAAAATAAATAAAGTAAAGTAAAGTAAAATTTCTCACACTGCTACCAAAAAAAGTATGTTATTTGAGACTGCTGAAAAGGATTTGAGAGACAGTATCTTTTCATGGAATAAATATATAAGTTGACATTTGGAAAATGATTTCCGAGGGGAAATCGCTCTCTCAAAGTTAGATTGTTTAATTTTACCCTCAAAATTATTTTCCACTTTCAGATTGTGTTTTTCTTTTTTATTTAATAAAAATACTAAAATAACTCTTCAGCTTCATTAATAATGGTCAGAATTAAGGGATGCTGCTTGACTTCCATTAACTTATAAAACCTTATGCCAAGATTGTAAATATGCTATATAATCAGTGGGTTACTGTAATGATTTTATTTTACTTTTTGCTAAAGAACAACTTTGGATAGCGTTACTCTTTGACCCCGTTTAGGCCAGAACAAACTCTTAAATTAAGGAGTTTGACATAATTATTCAAATAGACAATATTTTATGCTTATAATATTTCTAGCATTCATTGTGTTTTCTGAATCCAATAAAATGTAAATAAAATCCACAGTAGGTTTACTGGTCCTTACACAGCAGTATCTTCACCGCCCAACCATGAGGCGCCTAAAGACCTTCCACCATTTCTGCTGAAGTTCTTGTAAGCAAAGAATGTCCAGCTGCACTTTCTTTCCAGGGGATCCAGGGAAGATTCATAGGTGTTGATGCTGCATATGTCTGGTTGTTCTTGATTTTCTCTGCACCAGCAGGTTTGTACTTCAGTTAACTGGTGTGAAGCATGACAGCCTTTTTCAATTGACGTCACCCAAGACCTGCTGCTATGTTGCTGGCTTCTCTCCGCTCACAGACAGACCTGGAGCTCAGCGCTGGTAGTGACGCTGCTGCTATTTACAAGATCACGAACTTGCAACTGAAATTTGCCTCTTACCATCTCAGTCAGGACAGAAGAGTTCAGAAATGTGGTATGTGCAATGCTGGCATATGTGTTTTCGTTTATGAAAAAATGAGAAATACGTTTTGTGAAATGGACACAATATGAAATGGCAGAGCAAGTTAGATGGCCGTGTTGTTCCAATCAGTAAAAGACTTGGAAGCCGAAATAATTGGCCAAATATTTAAAAAAAAAACAAAAGCATGATGGGGAGCTTACACAGTTTTTCTATGCACTTCCTGAGCTCCATGCTGATTTTAAGAGGGTTTTCTAACTGATGCAAAGCTACTGGACCACGGAGAGAAACCAACCCTGCAGAGTAAGATAAACTCTGTAGCAAAATACTGATGGGCATACAAGGATGATGTAGATAAAACCTTGAGATTGAGTAAACTAAAGAAAACACAAAGAAAAAAAAGAATAGAAGAATATTTTCCCCAAAATTCAATCTCAGATTTCCTTTATTCGATTATCCAGTGTCACTAATTTTTTAAATTAGAAATGTCAGTACTGCTATCATTTATGTCATTTTAATAACTTAAATATGTCATCTAATGTTTTGTAATTTTGCATATGTCCATGTACGAAAATGGCTAAGGTCTTGAGTCAAATGATGCATTCCAAAAACAAAAATGCACATGCACAACCATGTTCACATTCCTGAGAGAGAACGCGTGTGAGAGCGTGCACAAGCTAATTTCTCCTCGTGCACGCTCTTTTTAAAAGTTGCTGTTTGCATCGCTTATACAAGCTTACTTTACAAAAGAAGATAGACGATTTTTTCCACTATGTCAGACTCCTCTACCGGTAAGTGAAAATGGGGACAAACACGTAGGACATTTATGTAGCTATATCACTAGAATGAATGACAATTAGGAGGACCATTTATTTAGATGATCCACCCGGAAAAAAAAAAAACATCCTCCACTATACCTTTAATTATTGCTTCTGCAGTCCCCCCAAAAATGAATTATCCACACTAGAAAACAGCAGATGTTCCCATTCAGTAATTCTTAAAAAAAAAAACAGTAAAAAAATAATAATTGTAATAATAAAGCTTTGCTGCTGTTTTCTTTTTCTACTTCTGACCTGATCTTTGTTTTCTTCATCTGCTGTGTTTGGCGCCACACTCTGATTGAGTTTATAACATCCCCTGATAGAGCTGACAGGCACACACACCATCAGTAATGCTTTAACATCAAAACATAAAGTCAAGGTTTGCGTCTCTGTTGTTCAAAACTTCTATTATTTTGTTATGTTAAGCTGAAACAAAACCACTAAAGAATGATCCTTCATTTGCTTTACTCTTTGAGACTGCCCTTCCAACAGTGTTAGCTGAACTTGAATTATGTACCCCCCAATGCACAAGTGACAAGATGAGTGTTTTGACCTTATTCCTCCTTCTTTTCTTGATAAGTAATTTTGAAAAATTCAAAAGGGTATAATAATGTTTATGTGGCTTCCTCCCCCAATCCAACAACCTGCATATCTGCCTCTCCAAAATTGGAGGTCAGTTAACAAAACATTGGACTCTCAGAGGTCCTTTGTTTCAAGTGTTTATGGGTATGACTCTGAGTGCTTGTTTCTGTATTTCTCTGTGACAGACAACACACCCTGAACAGGTTGACCAGGGTGCCTCACCTTTAACCTATTAACTGCTGCAGATAGACACAGCCCTACTTCAATAAGGCAGATATTAAAGACATTGGGATGCATAAACAGGATCAGTCTTTCCTTAACTATATTTATTCTTCTATTCTTCTGTTATAGGCTCCTTTTCAAACAGATATTAGACCTTTTAACCAATTATGGGTTGAAAACCTAATCCTGTTATGTTTGCAGGATCAAACCCAACCCAAAAGTCTTGCTGCTTTGGAAATGACAATTTGCTCATAGGAGGGATACAATTATAGACATACAACTATATAATAACTAGGATTTTTTTTTTCTACCAAAAAATTTTAAGTTGTTAAAAAAATGACCTATGCATTTAAATGGATCTATTAATGTATGCTTTTTGTCACATTTTTATAGTAACATTTCATGTAACTTTTAATATAGGCTTCAGTCTACATCAACTTATTTGCTTATGATTTCTGTGCCAAGAAACCAAAATCAGCAGATATACTAAATAAACACATGCAAAAGCCCAGCAAATATGTAAAAAGTCGAGCTTGATTTTCGTTTATGACAAAACAAACCAGCATAATAATAAGGCAGTATCATACTGTGGGCTATAAAGCACCGCTGCAGGTGATCAACCCTTATTATAACCTTCAACTAATCAAAAAAGAAAGAAGAGAAAGGGGTGGAGGAAAAAGACGCGCTGTTAAAGCGAAAAGAAGGAGCAAGGTGTCTTACCGGAGGAAGGAGAGGTGATGGATGGATGAAGAAAGTAGAGTCCTGTTGGTCTGAAGCGCCAAACTGCGCGCTCGGCTGCCCGATCAGTCACTTCTGATCGACTCTGACTCGATCAGCGCCTCCAGCCTGTAGGATCCTCAGCTGATGAGCCATCAGTCAGTCAGTCCGCCATCCTTCAGGTATCCGGACACTCTGGGAGTCTGTGGGAGCCGAGGACTGCCGTGCGCTCTGCGCCGCACAGAGAGCAGCGTGGGCGCACTGCGCATGTCTGCCCTCCCGCCTTTACTAACGCGCTCAACAAACAGAAACAATTAAATATAGAATAATCAGAGTCAAGATACACACACAGTAAAAGCCTCACGAACGTAAAGCTGATCAGTAGGGAAGGAAAAATCCATTTATTTATGTTGTGTGAACTAGAAGCCCTCTGTTTATTGTAGAAACTGTAAATACTGGCATCAGTTAGCCTTCCACTGTGGTTCTTACCCATGGGCGGTCCTAGACAGGGGCCAACGGGGGCCAGTGCCCCTGTAACTCACCTGGCCCCTGTACTGAAAAAAATAATACTTAAAGAAATTTTTATGATGATCTGTGCTGGAACAGACATGGTTACTGATAGCTCCTTTGGATCTATTTTCCTTTTTTTCTTTACGAATTCTGTTTTACTTATAATTTAAAAAAACAATAAGGTGATAGCTTCAGTGGGATTGAGATAAGATCCCAGTTTTTATCTCCTAAATGTTTTTTTTTGTTTTGTATTTTTTTTTTTTCAAAACTAATAGCTCTAATTTTTACGGGTTCATTTTTTTTTTTGTTCTAATTCAGATTTTATAGAAAACTGTAATTTTATTTAAATTAAGTCAAAAATATTTGACATTTCTAAATTCTGAATGAATATTGACCTTACAAGACACAGAATTTCAATAAGATAGCTGCATTTTCATGCAGCTATCTTACCCTTTCCCTGTTTTTTTTTTATTATTATTATTATTTCATGCTTTTCTGTGCCCCCATGAAAACACTCTGGCCCCCTTCTGGCCCCCTGGTACAACTGGTGTAGAACCACCACTGTTCTTACCCTGTCGTCTTTGTTGTTTACTGTCAGCTCAGTTGTCCATAAGGTCCGGAGGAAGTATCATAATGAGGGATCTCTCCTAGTTCCTAAGTGGGTTTGCTGTTGGTCTCTGTGCCATTTCACTTAGACTGACCCTGATGTTACATAATCAGGCTTTATCTGAGAATACAGAAGTAAATCTGCAGCTGCTGAAGCACTTAGTGGAAACAATAACCCTTAAACATCCCCATAAAGGCTCAGACCAGCTTCTGAACATTCGTTATAACTGAAAAATAAAATTATAGAATTAAGAGACAACACAAAATATCATAGCAAAAATATTGGATTTAATAGCAATATACTGTAAAACCTTAGTTGTATGGCTTTTCTTTTTGTAAAATCTCGTTTTGCGTTTGGTTTGAGGTGAAATGCTAATCTGAATACAGAAAAAAATGAGTCATATTAAAAGTGTAAAACTTCCTACAAAGGGACACAAAAGAAGAACTAATGAGAGCATGAACAGGAACTGCTAAACAGGAGGCTTAGGGTATACTTTAAAAATAAAGTGATGCTATAAAAGTAAGCAAACTTTTTTTAAAAGAATAATTAAGATTTTGACCTTTCTTTTTCTATCTTTACTCCCTTTATCACTAAACATGAAATAAGTAAATGGAAACCCAGAGGTAAAACTTAAATCACTTTGACACGATTTGCAGAAAACATTTTTCACTTAAACATCGGTCGACCATCAGACCCAAAAGCTGTAAAAGCTTGATGATATGATACTAATGCATAATCTATTGAAAGTATCCCTTACAGTAAAAAGCTCCCATTTCTCTGTAATAACAAGGAATCAGATAAATAAATGTGACTGAACATATGAGTGACAAGGTCATGCTTTAGAGGACATGTTTTTTGTTTTTGTTTGTTTTGTTTTTTTGGTAAAGACTAAATTCCTGAAAGGGATTACGGTATTAATCTCCTGAATATTGAGTTTAGGATTTTGTAAAGAAATCATTTTAGAGGAAAGACTTTTTTTTTTTTTTACTCACACACCCCTATTTGGATTGCTTTGTAGAATAGTGTAAAGCACAAGTGTCACTGTGGTGTAGATAAAGCCTTATAGTCTCAATGGTTTTCATCATGAAATGTTTGGGACTTAAATTGAAATATAACAGGAAGCAACTATTTGCAATAACCACCAATAATCAATTATCAAAATACTTGTCAAGTAATTTTAGTATCTGAACAATCATGAACTGGAGCATAGAGACTTTAAAACCTGTTCTCTAAAGAAAGAACAGCCCACTCAGAGCAGTTATTAAGCTAAAACTATAAAAACAAATGTATCCACTCTGCAGGATATACTGATACAGGAGATAAAAAACACAATTTTTATCTGCAAATATACTCTACTCAAGAGGATTTATGAGCATTGAGATTGTTCCTTTTTTACATTGTGCTCCAACACACACACACACACACACACACACACACACACACACACACACACACACACACACACACACACACATTTTTAAATGTAATGCATTTAAAATGTGCACAAAATTTTTGTTTTTTCAAGTGTAAATATGTATTTATTAAGGTATGTTCATTTACTAAAGCCATCTGTTTTATTAATACTTTAAACAAAAATAATTACTAGATGAATGTATTACTAAACTATTGATAGCTATTGATAACATAGAAGCATTAGTACAAAACACTTCTTAGTTCATTTATCTGTGAAGATTACCCTGGTTTGTACAGGCAGGCCAACCGGATGATAGGAATAATTATTCATTACTTTAATAAATTCATGAGCAGCACAGTTATTATCATAAATCCTGATTTACCTCTGTATCTAAGGCCTTTGACATAGATTCTCGAAAATAGAAGTAAAATCATTTTTTATTTATGTTTTAGCTCTGTCTCAGTGACTGACCCGAACACAATTAGTCCAAGTGGATTCTTCTTAATCTGGATCACAAAGATAAAAATATGATGGAGTCGTCTGTAAAACTGAATCCATCAGTCCTCAAAAAACAGTCATTTTGAAATAAATTAGTCTGCCATCATTTTACATCATTTTAGAGCTGGTCATATACAACAGAAAAGGAGGATAATCCCACTTCAAGGTCATTTGGCTTGATGGATAAAGCAGAGTCTTATACTGGACAACCTACAATCTTAGAACAACTGCTTGAACTTTACGTTGTTTTTTAGATGATGGTTTTGTATTAACTATATGCATCTGAGAAGAAATATTTCACGTGTACTGTCCAGTCAAAAAAAAAAAAAATCTGCATATGTGCTGCTCCAACCCTGATCTGTCTGGCAGGGCTGTACTCCTGCACGCATCAACACCATTTCTGGTTCTCAAAGGAAAAACATAATTTGCAAATGTGTGTGGAATGACTACTAATGAGAGAGCATGCCAGCTTTTACATATGGCTTCAATTCACCCATAACTCATCGAACATGGGCTTTTTAAGAGAAGGCAGTATATATTGAATATATTATCGATCAAAAAGACTATAGATAAATAGTTTGGTTTGAGCTCTCTGGATTTTAAGGTGGATGGTTTTAGGATTTCTCTGTTATTTCTGTGTAAACAGAGCACAGATTCCTCCGTTTTCAGTAGCCGTAAGAAAGCTGGATGGCGGACAGGCTCAACATATCACACTTAGGTGCTTAGAAAATAGTTTTCCTCAGTTCTGTGCGTTTAAGATACATCTCTGCTTCAACACAACTGAGTCAAACATTCATCTCATTAGCAGGACTCTGGAGATCCAATGCATACTGAGGTGGTTATTCAGCCTTTATTTCATGTGTGTAGAGGCAGAGTCACATCTACAAGAGGACAGCAATGAAGGAACTATGTTATAGAAGTCTTCTCTTTATTACAACAAGTTCAGAATCCTCTTTCAGATGTTCTTTGACATTTTTTTTCTTCCTAAACAAAAGCATACACATATACTAGCCTTCATTTGTTTGTATGTGTAAGTAAAGAACGGCTTTAAGTGATATAGTTTTGGTGAGGGGGCTGTCTGATTACACGATCACCAAAATAGAAGTAGTATTTGTTATGCTTTGTACCTTACGCAACAAATTTGGCAGACTGGAGTTTGGGGGGGTTTAGAACAGGTTTAATCACATCAGAATTACTCACTTGTGTGCATAAAGCTGTTATTTACTGAGTGATTTACCATTCTGGGCTGCAGAAGATTACCAATGTAATTAAAGGGTTTATTTTTCCTTACTCTGGCTTCAAAGTTAGTCACAGACTGACTTAGTAGGTATATTTAATTAAAATCTTAACTACATATGCAGTCTGGTAATATTTCTCATTCTGCAGCTCCACAGCAAAAAATTTGACTCTAGTAACTCAAACTGTGTATAAATCCATGCCTTAAAATCTTAAGGTGTATGACACAGATAAGAAAGTTTCCAGCTGTTTTAGGGCTTTGCTTGATTTACTTATTTATAACTGCAGGTTTTTCAGTTTTCTTTGGAAAAAAAACAAAACAAGAAGTTTAGAAACAAGCTGGAGGAAAAGGGAAGTAAAGTCAGAAAGTGCTGGAAGACAAGCTTCCTGTTGATTTTGCCCTTTAGTGTGATTTGTTTTTGGCAGAGAATGTTGATACATATGGTGAATTTGGCTCTGAGCATTTGGTGCCTCAGCTGCTTTATAAAAAAAAAAGTAGGACTCTATTTCACATTATCTGAAATAAAAAATAAAAAAACTAGACAAACGGTGCTGTAAAAAGTATATGCCGCCTTGCAGGTTTTGGTTGTGGTTGCTTTCTTGACACATTTTCATATTTCAGAATATCAAAAAAAAAAAAAAAAAACAGATAGAAAAATTGTTTTAAAATAATTATTCAAAAATTTTTTAAAAAATTGCCTTTGACAAAGATGACCTCTGTAAATACTGAATGTAATATACAAATCCCAATTTTTTTTTGTCTGTTTTTGTTTTGTATATCAAAACTAAAAACTAAAAAATAATCGCCCCATTGTTGAGGTATATGTTAAATTGATTCATTTCAATTTTGGGGGTGAGTTTAGTTTCCAAAGCCCTACCCAGACCTGCTAACCACCCACTTAGATAGAGCTGGTCTGGCAACATGAAGTAGG